AAATTAGGTATTAAGCATTGTCTGTAAGTTAATTGTTCTTCAGTATCACAAATATAAATTTGAGAAAAAGCAGGTGCAATATTATTATCTGGTAAGAGTGAACCTATTTGATAATACATTTCACCATGAATTCGAAAACTATAAATTCCTCGTGTGCCAACTATATTTCGATCAAGTTTGACACCCATTGATGTAAATGCTAACAATGAGTTATATTTACGAATATTTTTTCGAAAAATATAGGATCAGCTATCTTTTCCAATAAGCAATGAAAGCAGAGGCTCTGGTGGTTGATTAATAGGTGGCAATTTTATTTTTTCATTGGCACAACAGGTACTAAAAGTTGGTGCAAGTATACTACCAGCTACTCTTTCTTCTAACCAATGAAGTACTCCACATTGCAAACATTTAACTTCCATTGATCCAAGTTGGTGACAGATAACAGAATTAGTATTATAAATTTGCATATATGCAGCATTATATCCATATGCTTGTTTAATATTATGCATATATGCTAAACGTTGAGCTCTACATCGGTGGTCTGCTTGCTCATTTGATTCAGCCTCAGTACGAAGTCTATAAGCTTCACATTGTCTAGCACGTTGATTCTCAAGTTGTTCAGCTGTAAATAATAATTTTCGACGTGCATAAGCTTCTCTAGCAAGATGATTTCAACATTCCCTTGGTGTTTCTGAAGATTGTGCAATACCCATCTAAGATAAATATAGTACTAAATAGAAAAACAAATATTTTTTAGAAAAAAGGAGCATATATATATATAATCAGAAATCAGCATTATTATTTTTAACAGTTGCAAAAAAATTAATAGTTTACAAAAATTCATTATAATATCAAAAATTTTAAGAAATAATATTTTCTCCATAATTGAAACATACTTTTACTCTTTTGTCGAAGACCTAACACAGAAACTCAAATAATGAATAAATAAGTATTATCTGTCAGATTATAATGATCAGGCTGCTAAATAACTCAAGTTATTTTGCAAAAAAAAGTTTATTTTTATTATTTGGCAAAAATTGATAGTTTATTTTGGCTATTCGGTAGAAATAGATAGTTTATTTTGGTTATTTAGCAGAAATTGATAGTTTATTTTGTTTATTCAGCAAAAATTGATCTGTACTTACATATATAGCTTGTTTCAACTATTGGGATGCACGTACGCTTTATTTACTGTAAATACCTATACTACTATATAATATACTTTGCATATATACTTTTTAAATAAATTTTTATTATAAATTAAAAAAGAAATGTATTAATTTTCAAATAAACAATGTATCGACCTTATTTCATTTTCAGATAAATTTGTAA